ATCCCATCCCATCCCATCCCATCCCATCCCATCCCATCCCATCCCTTTGTTTCCATCCATTCATCTCAACTTCCCACCATCCCACACCCCCCTGGTTTCCACCCCATCCTCCCCATTCCCATCCCACCATCTCGTCCCATTTCCCCACACTCTTTCTCCCGACCCCCAACTCCCATTCCCTACCTGGTTGCCCTTCCCCACCCCTCCCCACTCCATCCCTTTGCCCCCATCCCATCGTTCCCATCCCACCCCCATCCCACTGCCATCATGTCCCCACCCCACTCACCGCGCCCTCGTCTCCCTCATCCAGCGCCTCGTCGAGGATGAGGACGGTGGGACGGCGGAGCAGGGCCCGGGCCAGGGCCAGGCGACGCCTCTCACCCGCCGCCAGCTGCCCCCCGCGCTCCCCCACCTCTGGGGGGGATCCCACAGGATCAGGGGGATCCAGCCCTGGGGTGCCCCCACACACATCCCACTGCCAGTCCCGTCCCCCCTCCTCTGGCTCCCCCACCTCTGCAGGGCATCCCATGGGATCAGGGAGACCCAGACCCGGGGTTCCACCCCCACATCCCACTGCCAGTCACCCCCTTTCGAACCTCCTCTGCTCCCCCACCTCTGCAGTGGATCCCATGGGATCAGGGGGATCCAGACCTGCAGTGTCCCCCCCCACATCGCACTGCCAGTCCTGTCTCCCCTACCGGTTCACCCACCTCTGCCAGAGGATCCCAAAATCTTCAGGATCCATTCCAGGGGTGCCCCCCGTGCCCCCAGATCCCACCAGTGTCTCAGTCCCACTCCAGCTCCTGGATGCAGCCCCTGGCCCCAGGATTCCCCTGGGATTCCCCCCCACCTCTCACCGGTGTCCCAGCCCTGCTCCAGCCCCTGGATGAACTCCAAGGCTCCGGCAGCAGCGGCCGCTTCCCGCAGCTCCGACTCCTCACAGCCCTCCAGCCCCAGCACGACGTTCTCACGAATTGTTCCAGAAAACAGGATGGGATCCTGCTCCACCAGCACCACCTGCCCCGGCCCCGAGCCCGTGAGCTTTCCCAGCTCCTTGGTGTCCCTACCCCTGTTCCACAGCCCAACGCCAATCGTGGTGTCCCCACCCCTGTTCCACGGCCCAACCCCAATCGTGGTGTCCCCACCCCTGTTCCACGGCCCAACCAGAGTCTTGGGGGTGTCCCCATCCCTGTTCCACAGCCCAACCCCAATCGTGGTGTCCCCACCCCTGTTCCACGGCCCAACCCGAGTCTTGGGGGTGTCCCCATCCCTGTTTCACAGCCCGACCCCAATCTTGGGGAGTGTCCCCATCGCTGTGCCCACTGTGTCTTCATCCCTAATCCCACTGTCCCTAACCCCATCCCTTGATGTTCCCAATCCCATTTCCCAGTATTCCCATTCCTACGCCTGGTACCCCCATCCTTGTTCCTACTGTCCCTGTACCCAGTGTCCCCATCCCACCTCAGTGTCCCCACCCTGTCCTTGGTGTCTCCATCCTTGTTCCTACTGTCCCCATCCCTGTACCCACTGTCTCTATCCCACCTCAATGTCCCCATCTCACCTGAGTGTCCCCACCCCATCCCTGGTGTCTCCATCCCTTTTCCTAGTGTCCCCATTCCTACACGTGGTGTCCCCATCCTTGTTCCTACTGTCCCTGTACCCAGTGTCCCCATCCCACCTCAGTGTCCCCATCCCACCTCAGTGTCCCCACCCCTTTTCCCAGTGCCCCCACCCCTGTCTCCCAGTTCCCAATTCCACTTCACCCCCCATGCCCGTCCCCGCTGTCTCCA